TCCCTCTTCCTTTTTTTTCTTGTGTGTGTTTTTTGTAAGGGGGTTTGTCTCCTGGCGTATATGAAAAATGATGGAAGGAAGGAGAGAGAGAGAGAGAGAGAGAGAGAGAGAGAGAGAGAGAGAGAGAGAGAGAGAGAGAGAAGAGAGAGAGAGAGAGAGAGAGAGAGAGAGAGAGCAGACGCTCAAGGAAGAAAACAGACCAACCCACTCTCAATCCATGCAACCGTAAATATTGAAAAAGGCGAGCAGACTTGCAATAAAACATCCCGTTCACAGCTGCAGAAAATACGTCGGCACATATCGTCACAACGCTTCAATGGCTACAAATGGCAGTAAATCTATCACTGTAAAACCCCACATTACGAAATAATTTGCACTGTGCACGCATCACCACACCTACGCATCATAGAGAATAAAGGTAAAGCGTTCTGCCTTGTAACTTATAAAACTGTAGCATCTGAATCCATTTCAGGTTCAGACAGCGAATCGAAACACACGCTCAGGGATTCGAAACATACTTTTACGCGCGAACGAAACATGCAAATGAGACACGTTTTTTTGCGTTGTTTGTGGGATCTGTGGTTTAGTCTTATTTTCTCCCTCTCCGTTCTCCGTTTATCTGCTATTAGCGGTAATAAGGGATCCTGTTGACAGCAATATTATAAGGAATAGTGTACTAGTTAAGTGGGTTAGGTTTCTACGGGCGGGTTTGGAATGCGCTCGCAGCTTTTCTTCTTTCTTATGGTTAACCAGAAAGATTTTTTGCTTCTTGGCCTATCTGTCATATAGTAGACCCATACGTCTGTCTGTCTCTGTCTGTCTCTCTCTCTCTCTCTCTCTCTCTCTCTCTCTCTCTCTCTCTCTCTCTCTCTCTCTCTCTCTCTCTCTCTCTCTCTCTCTCTCTCTCTCTCTCCTCCCTCTCAAGCTCCCTCTCATAATCTCTGTAGCTCCCTCTCATATTCTCTCTCTCTCTCTCTCTCTCTCTCTCTCTCTCTCTCTCTCTCTCTCTCTCTCTCTCTCTCTCTCTCTCTCTCTCTCTCTCTCTCTCTTCTCTTTCTCTCTCCTCTCTCTCCTCTCTCTTCTCTCCTCCTCTCTCTCTCTCTCTCTCTCTCTCTCTCTCTCTCTCTCTCTCTCTCTCTCTCTCTCTCTCTCTCTCTCTCTCTCTCACTGGATGTTACTACACCGCACACTTTTTTTCTCCCTTTTTCCGCCATCCGAGACATTTGCGTACGAGAATATATCATTGCGTGAGAGAACGTTATTTGGCCTCGATTTCGCTTTTCTGTGGCATGGTCCGGCCCGGGTGATGTTTTTTTTTTCTTTTTACGTATTTTATGTTGCAGGCTGATGGTGATAGTGAGGATGAGAGTGATATTGATGTATCATCATTACCGTTATCACCATTATCATCATCATCATTATTATTATTACCATTAACATTATTACCATCACCATCATCATCATCATCATCATAGTGATCATAATGATCATCAATACCTATTGTTAGTTTTGTTTATTTTTTTTATTATCGTTGTTGTCATTGACGGTAAGACTACTATTATAGTATCATTTTTATCATTATTACTATTATCACTGCGACTGTCATGATCACCCTTATGTTAGCCCCAATACATACTATTATAATATTGTTATAAACATCGCCATGACTCGATATTTCAGTACTGTTGAACCACATTCCCTTTCCGCTTGTGCTAAAAACAGAATGATAATAGTAATAGAAAAGACAAGTTAAAAAAACGACAACAAATATGAATAAAACGGCAATAAAAACAAAAGCTCACATGATATTACTTCCCTATTACGACATACCTACAGCACTCCACCCCCCCCTGCCTTCCCCCTTTTTCAGTTTCTCACGTAATTTGCAGTAAACACTATTATCTACTTCCTTAAAGCGGGAAAAAGGGAGTTATAAAGGGAAATGTGAAAGGGAAGGTTAGGCAAGAGAAGGGAGGAGGAGAGGGAGAGAGAGAGAGAGAAATGGAAATGGTAAACATAAATATATTGTCTGACTGAGTGACAGACAGACAGATGTGTGTATATATATATATATGAGAGAGAGAGAGAGAGAGAGAGAGAGAGAGAGAGAGAGAGAGAGAGAGAGAGAGAGAGAGAGAGAGAGAGAGAGAGAGAGAGAGAGAGAGAGAGAGAGAGAGAGAGAGAGATGGGAAACAACATACAATGAATGGAGAAAGAGCAATACAGATAAACAATCTAGACGACCATTAACAGTAAAATACTATATACACCTCCCTTCTCTACTATACCTTTTCTCCTATCCTGTTATCATTAACGCAATCGTGACATACAATGCACAATAACAGTGTAACCGACCTGTCTAAACCATTCTCTAGACGTATATTATTATGGTTTGTATAGTATTGTATGGTTTGACCTCCCTTTCCCGCAACCATCGTGTGTTGTGTTGGTCAGCATTTGCGGTGGCAGGGGAGGGGGGCGACGGGGGGTCGGTACCCTCTCCCTTTCCCCCTTTCTCAAATTCCCTACTTTCCTTCTTTTCGACTTCGTTTTGTCGATATATTTCCACATAGCTGTGAGTGTGTGTGTGTGTGTGTGTGTTTAATACTTCTAAATACTTTAGAATAATTCATTGTTGCATTTCTTTAATCACTTTATCGCGTTTCTCTCGTGGTCTGCCAACACTGGCACCGGATGTGTCCTGGCGGCTGGCTGGTGCCTGCGGGGAAAGTGCCTTGGCGTGCCACTCTGTGTCTCGCTGGAAAATAGGACCCCATCCGAACACGCATTTCGTTTTTTGTTTTTTTATTTATCTATTTCTAGTATGATTCAGTTACCGACGGTGATGTGTATTTGTGTATCGACTTAAATATTTTGGAGATGAATTTATAGTTCTCTAGATATTTGTGCATTTATGTAAGACAAACATTTACTCACATAATCTTTTCTGTGTCTGTATTTATGTCTGTGCCGAGCTGTACGCGTGCGTCCACAACCGTTTTGATCACTTACCTGCCGTTATATAATTAAGTAATTAAGTTTTCGCTCAGGACGTCGGTCTCACTTGAATTTGCATAAACGGACAGATGTGTGTATATACAGCAGGCTTAAGCATGCGTACACAGACATGTACATGGACCTGCATATACACATGCATATCCATTCGATAGACACACGCGCTCAAAAGGAAAAATACCTGAGAGTATGCATACACACAGATAAAAAAGCAAATAAACTGTCCTTGGTAAAAGCCCTCTCAAACTCGCCTCTAAACGTCTCAAATGGAAAATATTAGCCTCCACTCTCTCTGTTCCCCTCTCCATTCTCTCCCCTCGTCTCCTCTTTCTTTTATCCCTTTCCTTTCCCCTTCTTCCCCTCGTATATCTGTTCGTCCGCCCACCTTCCCTTCCTCTAGTCATTCATCCTCAGTTATTCATTTATTCGTGCTTTATTCATTTTCTAAGATCATCAACGCATTTTCCAGTATACATGTGTGTGTGTGTGTGGGTATGTGTGCATGTGCGTGTGTTCGTGAATATATGTACTAATTCCGTATGTGTCTATGCGTCAAGGGATGTCCATCTGGATGAATCCAAATCAATCGCAAAGATATTCCTATAGACAAACAAGTAAGCAAACAAACGGAAACAAGCCGAGGCAGCTGTCAGTCAATGAGGGAATCGGCTTGCAAGTCAGTTCAACTTACACAGCGGCTTGAATGGAGCGGAAAGGAAAAGGATCAGCTGATCTGCCTAAATAAACCTTGGCAGCTGTTTCTTTCACTCGTTTCGCATCTTGAGCAAAAATTATGAAGACGAGAGAGAGAGAGGGAGGGTGGGGAGGGAAAGGGAAAAAGAGAGAGAGAGAGAAAGAGAGAGAGAGAGAGAGAGAGAGAGAGAGAGAGAGAGAGAGAGAGAGAGAGAGGAGAGAGAGAGAGAGAGAGAGAGAGAGAGAGAGAGAGAGAGAGGAGGATGGGATGAGGGGAGGAGAGGGTGGGGAAGGAAGAAGGGAATGAGGGAAGAGAGGAGGAAGGAGGTAGAATATGAAGGATGATAAGAGCCTGAAGAGAGAGAGAGAGAGAGAGAGGAGAGAGAGAGAGAGAGAGAGAGAGAGAGAGAGAGAGAGAGAGAGAGAGAGAGAGAGAGAGAGAGAGAGAGAGAGAGGGGGAGAGGGAGAGGGAGGGAGAGGAGAGAGAGAGAGAGAGAGAGAGAGAGAGAGAGAGAGAGAGAGAGAGACAGAGACAGAGACAGAGACAGAGACAGAGACAGAGACAGAGACAGAGACAGAGACAGAGACAGAGACAGAGACAGAGACAGAGACAGAGAGAGAGAGAGAGAAAGAGAAAGAGAAAGAGAGAGAGAAAGAGAAAGAGAGAGAGAGAGAGAGATAGAGAGAGAGAGAGATAAACAAAGAAAGTCGGAAGGTGTTTCAACCTAACCAGCCAAAGAAAATGGGAAATATCTCATACCAGAAAAATCACAAACAAAGGAAAACAAAACAAAAACACATCTTGTCACAATGGTCGATTATCCTCCGAAACGCAGTACAATGATAGGACATGACAGAAACGAAACATAGGGAAAAAACGCTAAAAAAGAAAAGGTGAAAGGTTACAGATGAAAATGACTTTTTCTTTTGTCTTCGAACGTTCGAACTTTTCTCGCTGTTATTCACTTACTCTTTCCTCGGTTCAGCTTCTTTCTTCTTTCTTTTTCTTCAACCCTTTATCAGCCTCTTCTCTATCACGGTCTTTATCATTTACTTCCTTACTCTATGATAAAAGAAAAAAAAAATGCTAGGTATTCATTGGGACATGGAAAAAAGAAAACATCTTAATACAAGATCTCGCAAAGAATAATAATTACAAATGATTAGATAAATGGTACTGTTTACTTAGTACAAGAAAAGAAAAAGAGGATTTTTACGGGAAAGTTGCTGAATCTATCACCTCTTTCTCCCCTAAAAGAAAGTCGCCCTAACACGACCTCTTCTCCCCCCAGGTCACGTTGATGGTGCTGTGGGCGGCGGTGTGTGGCTGCGGACTTGTGGGCGCTGCGAAGTACGCCTGGGGAGACGCCCTCACCGACCCTGACGCCCTCGGCCCCGACGGCATGAAGTACCCAACGTGAGTGTGTTTTCGTGGTTTCAAAATCTCTCTTTTTGTTCCTTTTGTTGTTTTCTTTTTTAGGCTTGACCTGGAGTGAAGCTTATTTTCCGGTTCACGTTAAGGTATTTGGGTAATCATTGTTTCATATGATATATGGTACATGTACTTGATTTTCGTGGGGGTGGTTATAACTCATATTATGTAACAAGGTAACATGGTCATTAATACGGAGATTGATATTTTGAGTAACAAGAAAGATTCAAGTATAATTTTGATAAACGGAAAGGAGAAAAAAAAAAACATATTTATATATAAACACACACACACACACACACACACACACACACACACACACACACACACACACACACACACAACACACATATATATATATATATATATATATATATTATATATATATATAATCTAATCCTCCCAATCCAGATAAAAGAGAAAAAAAAAAACACTGGAAAGTGAGACCCTTTCGACATCACCCTGAACCCTTTCACGCGCCGTCCTCTCTCCCCGGGCTCTGACCCACAGCATCTTCCCCTCATCCATGCCCTCCCATCGTCCCGCAGGAAGCTGATCAACCGGCTCTACGCTGATGGCGAGTTCGGGCCTCCTTCAGGAATGCGTCGGGGGAGGACTCTCATGAAGACGCTAGACCCTGCGACCGTGAGGGAGAACCTGATGCAGGGGTTCTACGACGCCAACGCACACAACGACCACGCCACGCTCAGGCCGCAGGGTAAGGGAGGCTGGTTGGGGTGAAGCATGGGTGGAGGGGGCGCAGGGTGGGTGGATGGGCAACTGGCTGATTGATTGATAGATGAATAGATCTTGTTTGAGAGAGAGAGAGAGAAGAGAGAGAGAGGGAAAGAAGAAATAAAGAAGAAAAGATTTGAATTGATTTGATAATATTTATTTACAGAACAGTGTACATGCCCTGTAAAAAAACAGGGTAAGATGCTATGATAAAATTAATATAATCAATAAGTGCTGGTCTCTGGACAGTGCTATTTGATCGATATGCTGCAGTTTTTGAGCAATAAAGTAAGTAATGTGTAAGATTATGCGACTTGGGCGCCTTGCACATTTTGCATAAATAATGATGATAATTATAATGATAATGATAATGATAATGATAATGAGGATGATAATAATAATAATAGTAATAATAATAATAATGATGATGATGATGATAATAATAATACTACTACTAATAACAATAATAATTATAATGATAATGATAAAATGATAGATAAGATGATAATAATGGGTATGATGATAATTATAATCATAACAAAAATATAATAACAATAACAGTCCTAAAGTAATAATAACATACGAAAATAATAACAACAACAACAAAAACACGATGACAAATAACAACAAGCATTGTAGACAGAATTCGAGCAAGCGATGACAAACAGACAACGTCCCGGCACGAATGAGGGTGAGCAACACTGCCAGTGCCATCTCGCGACTGGCTCTGGTGCCGTCTGGTGAGCGGCCGCAGACGATGAAAGGAGGGGGAGGGGAGGCGAGGGGGGAGGTGGGGAGAGGCGAGGGAGGTGGGGGAAGAGGCGAGGGAGGTGGGGAGAGCGAGGAGGGGAGAGGCGAGGGGGGAGGTGGGGGAAGGAGGAGGGTAGTAGATGTGTCAGACAGGTAGGCAGACATTGGGGTCGTTATTATATAGATGATGAATGAGTTTACACAATGTTCACAGTGTATTGGAGTGTCAAAGGAATATGACTCGGAGGAGGTGAGGTAGAGGGAGCGGGAGGGGAGAGGGTGGCTAGAAGGAGGAGACAGACAGAGAGAGAGTGATTGAGAGAGAGAGAGAGAGAGAGAGAGAGAGAGAGAGAGAGAGAGAGAGAGAGAGAGAGAGAGAGAGAGAGAGAGAGAGAGAGAGAGAGAGAGAGAGAGAGAGAGAGAGAGCCGGGATATTGACGAGCGCTAAGAACGAAATGTGCTACCGTAGTTACTTATTGAATTAAACATCGTCAAGCAGTTTGTAAATTTTTTTTAGCTGTCTTTGTGGTAGGAGAGGAAACAAGAAGAAATTTGCAGCATGGATTTTTAATTGGCATTAATCAGCATTGGTGTATGTATGTGTGTGTATGTACAGAAACCATATAGACAATAGATTATCCACATCCATTATTTATGCTCCCCCTCTCTAACCCTCTTATTCTCTCCCCTCCTTCCATCCCCCTTTTACTCCCCCTCCATATAACCCCCTCTTCTCCACCCCTTTCTAAGCTCCGTATTCTCCCCTCTCCCCATGCGCTATTGCCCCCTCCCCTCCCGCCTTCCCCCCTAACCCGTGTCTCCTCCTCAGGGCGCAGCATGCCGGACAGGGACTCCTCGCCGTCGTCCCCAGCGCGCGCCGTGGCCTCTTCCGTGCAGGAGAACCTCGTCAGAATGTCTACCTCCGTCAAGAGCTCGACCTCCACCAGCACCATGTCCTCCTCGAGCTCGTCCTCTTCGACTGCGTGCCCCAAGGGACCGCCGGCGAGGATGTGCCAGACGAGGTACAACACGACGGCCCCTATGTACGGCGTCAGCCTCACGTCGGGACAGCCCGTCACCATCGTGCAGAAGTTCCCCGACCTCCTGCAGCAGGTGATCTTCGAAGTGTGCGAGTAAGTGTTCGTTCGGTTTCCTTCTCTCTCTCCCTCTCTGTATATATATATATATATATATATATATATATATATATATATATATATATATATATATATATATATATCGCTTTCGTTCTCTCGTTGGAATAAAATGTAGTAACTGTCCCGATTACTGACAATGACGAATTCTTGTATGTCAAACTATTACAGAATGATTCATGGATTGGTTACACAATCACTAATGCTTCGCACGCGCGCTCTTCCCCAGGAGTGACACTTGCGACGTGGTGCAGGGCAGCTGCGTGCAGACCTATGTCCCTTACCTGTTCCTGGTGATTCCTTTGGGCCCAGTCACGCTCACCGGTCAGGACTACGTGCTGGTAGAGTCCGGATGCGTGTGTCAGCCCAAGTACAGCCAGGCATCGTCCTTGCCGTCTCCCATCGAAGCCATATCCGGCGGACCATGAAGCACGCAAACGGACGAGCGGATGTCGAGCGAAAGAGGACGTTTAGGTTAGCGGCCTAGCGACCTTAGCGGAAGTGACGGCGCGCGCTCGGGGGGTTCTGAAGTTAGTGATAACTGTGAGGACTTGATGATAAATAAGTACGCTTGACTGTGTAAGTGTGTGTCTAGTACAAGTTACCGCGCAGTAATTCGAAGAGGAAAATTTGTGTGAGAGGTTATGGTGCCTCGTGCGGGGCTTGACATGTTGCTCATCGCTCAAATTCACGCATTGTTAGAGATGACATCTTACCCTTTCCCATCAGCCAGTATTTGTCATTTTTACTTCTTAAATGGATTCCTTTAATTATACGGAGAGGCGTAGAGGATATCCTGCCATACACTTGACAAATACCTCATACACTCACGCACATGACAAACATATCGACGACATTTTAAATATATTTGGTGCATTGTTCGACTGGCAGAGGCTGGCTAAGAACATAGCATTTTTAATACCTGCTCTTTTTCCTTATTGCAGTCTAAATGGCACTGTTCATAACTTTTATAATGGATCCAGAAAATAATAAGGGTTAAGCTAGATAAATAAGTAAGTGTTATTTGTTCTATTCACAGTCCCACACCAGGCACAAGCCACCTTTCCATTCTTCGGTGAGAACGAAATCGGAGAATACCGTTTTCTCAATTCTCCCTTTTTTCTTTCCCTTATTCACTTTCTTTTTCCTTTTCTGTTCTCTTCTTCCTTTTAAAGTCATGATTTTTCTCACTCTTTCCTCCTCCTGTTTCCCTTTCCTCTTTCCTCTTCAGTCTGACCTCACCGGGTTTTCCCTCTGACTGAAATAGAAAACGAGAAGTTTGATAGGGAAGAATTAAGGAAGGAGAGGGATGATAAAGTCGAGGAGGGAGGAGAGGAGGAAGAAAAACGAAGGGAGGGAGAGGGA